ATGCACTCTTTATATAAAAGTTTCCAAAACTTGATTTAATCCACCATGATTTATCACTCGTATTAGAAGATTTTATGCAACATTCTGCCTTAGAAAGATCTAAAAATAGAAAGAACTAAATTGGAAAGAGCAAAATCTGAAATTTTTGCAAGTTATGCATAAGTTATGAGTTTTGGATCAACTTCAAATGACCATAACTTTCAGTAAAAGATGAATTAGGTGGACCATAAGATATCAAATGAAAGGTTTTGGAATCTTCTTTCCAACGCTACTGAGTTTGTTGAAATTCGAGCTCGTATGAGGGATATATGCCCGTTTGAGTTTAGTATGTCCATATAAGAAAAGTTACTCGAAAATATGAGGGGTATTTTGGTCTTTTCCCTTACCCAATTAGATTAATTTGTTTTTAGTAAGGTTTTAGGGGTCTAAACTGATTTGGTTCAGTTTTATAATCCTAATTCACACTTAAGGTTTTAGAAAAGAGTTCAAGAAGAGAAAATAGGAGAAAGGAGGGAAGATTCAAGGCGTTCATAAAAAATTCTTACGGATCGTAGGTTGTTTCGCCAAGGGTTTGATACCTAAGAGGTATGTGAGTTCTCATAGCGTTGGGTTCGTTCATCCAGATGCCAATCATGCTATTTTAATGCAATTTCATTCTCAAAGTTGAAGAATTTGAGTTTTTGATGAGTTTTCTTGAAATTTCATTCATAATCTTGATTGTTGGGATTTTGATGAGTTCTTGAGATAAAAGTTAATGATTTGAGGGTTGTTTTGAGTAGATTATAGTGTACTTATGTTGGGTATTCAAATCTAAGTGATTGGGGAAGAAACTATTCGATTCTAGGCGAGTTAGGGTAAAAAAACAAGAAAGAAATTCGTTGGGATTTTCTAGGCAAAGGCTGGTGCTCCGCCCCACCAACAAGCCAGCAGAGGGTGTCTGTAGGATAGCCCAACCACACCTTTGTTGGTAGAGGGTTGGCGCCCTGCGCCACTCAGTGCGCCAGGGTCGCCTCCCCCACCCGTTCTCTGTCGTTTAGCCTGTCTGAGTTCTTCCAAAGGGTACCTTTACTCCCCTTTGATTCTAACTACTCTAAACTACTTCTAAACATCTAGAAATCATTCATAACATGAATCATAACTTTTAATTCATAATTCAAATTCAAGGTAGATTTCAGAGTCAAGTCTTGAGAATTCTTCAAAACCTTTTAAGAAGTCTTTTTACAATCTTTTAAACTTGTTTTAAGACTTGAACATTTGAGTTTGAGGAAGAGTGGACTTGAGTTAATTTTCTTTAAAATGATATATGGGAACTGATGTGAGGCAAAAATACATAGTTTTAATCATTATTTGCCTCACATTTATTATTTATATTTGTCCTTTTTGAGCATGAAGTTTATGGATTGTACTAAATTGTGTATTTTATTTGTAGGATTGAATTGGTGTTAAGATAAAGAAATTTAGAACTAAAACGAATTAAATATGAAAGGTAGAAGAAGAAAATCAAGCAGAGAGCTTAATAGATTAAATTGAATAAAATAATATATAATATATATATGAAGTGCATTGAAGGAAAAATTTTAATTGGCGTAAAAGTCCTGCCACGTGTCACTAGCGACGGAAGCATCAACGAAAACAATTGAGGCGGCGCACAGTTCACGCACAAATCCAATTCCGTTTGGTTTTGGATTCTTAATTTATTTTGGACTCAATTATTTTATATAGGGTTTTATACATCTATAAATAGTCTATAAGAATAATTATTGGGAGGGGGATAAATGTAGAAATTAACTTTCGATTTAGGGTTTCTTCTTTTCTTTTATTTTATTTTACATCTTTCTTTGAATGATGGGTTGTAATTGTTCTATGTCTATGTGGAGTTAAAATTCTCGTTCTTGGATTATATTTACTTATAATATGATTGTTTAGTGATTTTTATTCGACATGATTTGTTTATCATATTAGTTGTTCTTATATTCTTGTGATTACTATTTTGATGCTTGATCACCATTGAAATAAATATATTGTCCGAATTGAACTCGAGAGAGGAATAAGAGGATAGAACGTGAAATATACGGAGCATGATTTTCTCTTAATAACTAGGGTTAATTTGTATCTAGGATAGGGATATACCTAGAAACCATGCTTGGTCACTATACAGAAAGAAATCGTAATGCTCGATACTTAATCCATCCTATCCCCGCTCAACGATGTAGTTAGGGTGTTATTTATAGTAGGCGATTAGAGATCGAGAGACCATGATCATACATTTAACCTTCTGAATCAATAACTAGATAATCAAATAAGTTGATGAAATTGATGCTAAACATGATTGTTAGTTAAATTATAATCCTAGATTGATTCATTCATTGATTGTGTAAACATCTATCTTTTCTTAGTTATTTGCTTTTTAGTTATTTTAACTTTATTTTTAGTTTATTTAATATATTCATCTTTTGAAATCCTCTCCTTAAATAAATAATTAGAATTAATATAATTTAGTAAGAATAATTAATTGACAAGTACTTTGGGTTCGATAATTCGATTCTTTTAAGAGCCACTATATTACTTGTGCGATCGCGTACACTTGCGTGTGCAATTGGAAGCAACAGGATATAAGTATCCCCAAGAAAAATATTTTTACATTTAAGAAAAGAGGAAACACAGATTTCCAAAAAGAGTTCATGAACAGTTTTGAGTACTATCTCTTTTTAGAGAAACCTTTTGAGTAATAATCTCAAAATTGAGGATGATGAAATGTTTTCTTTAAAACATATGAGCTAAGTTATGTTTTGGGAGTAGTATTGAGCACAAATATGGGGGAGAGTTCTAACAACTCACAACCCCCAAAAACCATGTAGTCAACGTGGGTAGAAAGGGTCATACTTTTTAGATGATTTCTTATTGCCTTTTAGCATAGACTGGTGGATCTACTTGGTTGAGGAGTTCTATACCTCGAAAAGGTATAGGACAGTTCTGGCAGCGTGGACGAGACGTTGTATCATAACATAGCTCATAGTGATGGTTGTCGGTTAGAGAATCTCCCAAACAAAGTTTATTTTGTATTTTTAAATTCACACTGAGTTATATTGTATTTTTCAATACATTAAGTTGTTATCTAATGTTTTAAAAACTTTTCTTTATATCGCAATTGCTTTTATTGAAATGAGTTGAGTGAAGACGAGGTAAGTTGTTTCTTCAGTCCCAATTCAAGCTTCAGTCATGTTTTAGATTTATCCTCGCATGCTCGTACGTTCCATGTATTGACACCATTTGGCTTGCATCTTTCATGATGCAAATACAGGTAACCAGGATCATCAACCAACGCTTCGTTGATCCAGTCGAGTTCCAGAGTTTTTTGGTGAGCCTCATTGCTTCTGGAGAATCCCTTATTTATATTCAGTTATTTTAGCTTTGTTAGGATAATACGGGATCTTGTCCCCACATCCCTCATAGTATTAGAGGCTTTAGGTAGATAGTAGTGCATGAGTCTTTTCATTTTTTAGTTATTTGTGTTGAAACTTGAGTTGCCTCTTTGGCTAGTTGAATATTTTATTTCTAAATTATTCTGAGTATTTCTTTGAGACGTTGAGTAAATTTGTGCTTTTGAGTTCATCTTATTTATGAGTGAGTCTTCCGTTAAGAATTAAGTGTAACACCCAAAAACTAGTAAGTTATTTTAGAGCTTTATGTAAGGGTTATAGAGCTTGACATGGGGGTTAGAGTCGTAGCTATGACCTCCCGTACTTAGAATGAAGGGTTTAGGGGAGAAACGTCAAGGTACGACTCCCCAAGGACCAACCAATGGTCCTTGAGGAGGACCCTAGAAACTACCCAAAATCTGCCCCTTGGACAGTCCACCCACGATTGGGGACCCACGCCCCGTAGGGGGATCCACGCCTCGTGGATGGGGTCGTAGGTCAAGATCCCAAAATTTGGGTTGCAGACCACCACCCATGGAGGACCAGCATGGCCCGTGGGTCGGGGTCTCGTGGGTGAGGTAGTAAGGTCCCTTAAGTCGGTTAAGTTGGAGGGTTAGGGAACATTCTAGAATTAATTAGTTATTAAGTGGGGTCATTTTATTAGTAATTAGACCACATATATAAAGATAATAGACCCCTAAATACATTGATCCTAGTCATTAATTCAATTCACCAAAGAGACCCAATTCCCTTCAAGAAATTCTCTCTTTAGGAAGCAAAAAAGAAGAAAAGAGAAGCAAGTTAGGGAAAATTCCTCCATTGTTGCAAGCATTGTGAGGGATTTATAATCAAGGTATGATATCTTATTCATCCATGGAGCCTCCTAGATTTCCCCCAATTGTGAAGTTGAATCCCCAATTCAAGTTAGGGTTCCTTCCAACATTGTGGGTTAAGTTGAGTATGAATCCAATTGAGATAAAATTACTTGTTTGTGATTGATTTAGCAGTGAATTATGTTATTATGATGATATTATGTGTTTTCCATGGCTAACCCTAGTTAATTGATGAAATTGAAGTAATGTGGGTTTGTGCCTTAAAGAGGGAAATTGAAGACTTAGAGATGATCTTATAGAATTGATGTTATGAGTAGTAATTGTTCAAGAATAGAAACAAGTAGACATGAATAGAATTAAATTAGGGAAAAGGGACGGATTTACCCCCGAACTTTAATAAATGGTACGTATATGCCCTCTGTTATACTTTGCGTCCACATAAGCCCTTACCGTCCAATTATAGGTACACATATACCTCTCCCACTAATGGACCCCTAATTTCTTACACGTGTCTTAATCCTATTGAACTACCGATTTTGACCCTTTTTTTTTAACCCATAACCCAACTATCCGCCCCATAACCAATACCCACCCAATTTTCTCTAAAAGGAATCCTAATTAAAACACCCAAATTAACACACCAAAATCTGTCCCTTTTCCACTCCAACTTTCAAGTCTCCACCAAACAATCTTGAATTTATGAATTGATCACCAAAATTTGGTACTAAAACCAATTGGCACTCATTAATCATGGCCTCCGATAACGAATTCCCGCCACAATGAGTGACAAACATCCAACAGAAGGATGAGATAACATCAATTGTTTCTCTGCCCATCCCGAATGAACAATGTATTTCCCTTGTGTTCTCTCTTTGAAACCTTCCGGTAATGCCTCTTCGATTGTCTCAGCTTCAATAGGCAGTTTTAAAGCAGCGAAAAACGGATAACCAGTAAGTTCAAGTCCCAAAACCAGTTCTTGAAATTGATCTTTCTTGAGATTACATTCTCTACCAAATGCACACAAAATAACCGTCTTTTCTTGGAATTTTTTGAGCCATTTTGACCAATTTTCCTCTGTATTTGAAGTCTCTATTGGTTCGAGCAATACTGGCCCGGCTAACGCAACTGGTTTCTTGAACTTATGCTCAACAATTTCACAATAAGGTCCTTCTATTTCTCGAGTAGTTTTGAATGCAATGGCATCTCCGTCTTGAAAAGCCAAAAGCAAACGTTGAGTGAACGATACGGAGCCAGAACCAGAACCAGAGTTACTAGAATTCTTCCCCATCAAATGTAGAGCTACGATTAAACGAGCTTCATATTTGTGGAGTTTGATAGATGAATCAACAGGAAAACCAGGTGGAGGTTCCATCATTTCAGCATCTGAAGATGGATTTTCACCACACATAAGATAACCAACAAATGATGGGGTAATAGAACAGTAATGCATAGACTTAACTCCATATTTTCGAGCAACGGATGTAACCCAATAAGAAAAATCATAGAAAATGAAATGGGGTTTGATTTCTTGAATTAAAGACTCAATCTTTGGTAATGTGATATCCAATGCTTGATAAAGAAGATTCCGACTAGGGAAAAGGGACGGATTTTTGTGTGTTAATTTGGGTGTTTTAATTAGGATTCCTTTTAGAGGAAATTGGGTGGGTATTGGTTATGGGGCGGATAGTTGGGTTATGGGTTAAAAAAGGGTCAAATGGGTAGTTCAATAGGATTAAGACACGTGTAAGAAATTAGGGGTCTGTTAGTGAGAGGGATATATGTATACCTATAATTGGACGGCAGGGGCTTATGTGGACGCAAAGTATAACATAGGGCAAATACGTACCATTTATTAAAGTTCTGGGGTAAATCTGTCCCTTTTCCCAATAAATTATAGTACATATAATGGATCATGACTAGTAAAGCTTGAAGTTGAACCTTTATGATGATTTATGATTAGAATCTCTTAATAATGAAGCATGAGACTAGAATGTCTTGAAATCTAGGTATGTAAGATGATTGTAAAACGTAGAGCTTTGAGAGTGAAAAGTCTATGATCATGATAAGTTATTGTGTTGTTGAAAGGATATTCTCATATACACACTTAGGCATGAATATGCTAGGAGATGAAAGGTTTTCTCACATAGAATGATTCTAGGTTGAAAGGCTTACTCACCTAAAATGAATCAAAGCATGTTAGACTAGAATAACTTGAAGTTGTGACATAAGATCCCTTCATGAATAGCTTGACTTGGTAAGATAAGACCATGCTTGGTAGCTTGAGTTAGGAGTTCTCATGGTAGCCTTGGATTGAACCATAGTGCTTCTCCTAAGGGTAGCTTAAACTAGCATCATAGAATGCTTGCATTGTAGCATGACTTGGTTAGGCCAAGACCATTTCATGGTAGCTTAGGAGAGAAACTATACTCTCCTAAGGTAGATTGAACTAGCATCATAGAATGTTTGCATGGTAGCATGACTTGGTTAGGCCAAGACCATTTCATGGTAGCTTAGGAGAGAAACTATACTCTCCTAAGGGTAGATTGAACTAGCATCATAGAATGTTTGCATGGTAGCATGACTTGGTTAGGCCAAGACCATTTCATGGTAGCTTAGGATTGAGAAACCATACTCTCTTAAGGGTAGCTTACATTAGCATCATAGAGTGCTTGCATGGTAGCATGACTTAGTTGGTCTAAGACTATTTCATGGTAGCTAGAATGGAACACTTGTACCCTTCCTAGAATAGCTTGGACTTGCATGATTAATATGTTTTTCCATGGTAGCTTGGTCTAATCCAATATGCTGACTTTCCTTATATAGATTGGACTTGCATGTCAGTATGCTATTCCTTTGGTAGCTTGGTCTAGCCTAATAGGGTGCTATTCTTTGGTAGTCTAGAATGATAAATAGTAATCATTTATGTATGATAGCCTAAAGTAGTACTTAGCATGGGTAGGATTATGGGTCTTATTCCTGCATTGCACAAGTAGGTTATTAGTATTAGTACATCATTGAATATACAATTCAAAAAATTCTTTCATATCTGATTCTTTCTGGGTTTTTTTTCAAACAAAAAGTTAAAATACGAAAAAAAAAAATCAGAATGAAAAGCGTCCATTGTCTAATGGATAGGACAGAGGTCTTCTAAACCTTTGGTATAGGTTCAAATCCTATTGGACGCAATTTATTTCCATATATATATATATTTTTAGATTTCGATAACAAGAAAGACTGTTTGAATATTTGAATCCAAGATGCTTAAGTCCTTTTTTTTATTAAGATTAAGACAAAAGTGATAAATATTTCTTTATGCACCCTTCGGGTCTCGCTTCCAGCGCAGGAGGCCAAGCATTCTGCCAGACGTCCCGGCCTGGGAGCCCCGTTCGCCTTTGGTACTTCAGTAGATCTTCTAAAATAAAAAGCGCTACTTCAGCCTTAACTACAACTACATTACGCAAGCCCAGCCGATACCTACCTATAGAGTAAAATTCGCGGTTGTTGCTCCGCAGCGATACGGACTCGACCCGCTCCTACCCACTCCGGGGTACCATAGCATGTCGGGAATAAGGGGGGACATACTGGACGTAACCACTCCCTTGGTTGGGGGCTGTGCCGCCTTGCCTTTCGATCGATACACAGTTGAGGAGGCCGATCACGAACGCTACAGGTGTGGGAGCGATCCTGGTCAGGGAAGGCTAAGACGGCGCCTCGCATATGGGTAGCAAGGAGGGCGGTCAGATTAATAAGCTTACGACCACTGAACAAACTTGGTTGATGAACATAGTTTATGCGCCGCTAATGTAGCGGCTTGTCGAGCTACTTATGAAGTATGTCTCTCATGTGTTGCATGCTTAGCTTGGATTGACTAATAGTACTTTTCCTTGGTAGCCTTGAATAGGTGAATTATGAGCATTCCTGAGTAATGACTTGTCTTGGACTAGTGAAGAGGTATTCTTCCATGACTATTATATATGAATATGAGGGACAAGTCCCTAATCTAAGTAGCATGTGTATGATGAAACTAGATTACTTCAAGGAAGTATTTTAAGCATGTCCTAATATGAGATTTGCCTATATGATATATGCTTAGCGTGGAATGTTGCCATAGTTGCCTTTTCTTAAATATGTTTGACTAAAGGTAAAGGTTCCCTTGTCTATGAGAAATGAGTTAAGGATGAGATCCAAAGGTGGTAAGTATGATTATGATGACCTAGAAGTGATACTTAGTGTGGGTGGGATTATGGGGTCCCATCCATGCATTGCACAAGTATTCTTTGAGGTTACTTGAGAAGTAGTTCTCTTATGATATGAAGGACTAAGGGTTGAATAATGCTTATATGATGCCTATGTTGGAGACTTTGCTCATGATTATGATATTGTCTCTTATGCTTATAGTTTATGTTTCATGAAGTATCTCTTATGATTATAGCATATGGCTTATGTTGACTAACCCTTATGTTATGCTCTTATGATGTTATGCTAGCTATCACATTTAGTACTTTTGTACTAACGCATACTCTTGCCTACATTCTCATCAAATGTAGGGTTCGGCGATTTTGAGTTCCATTCTTGAAGATAGATTTCTAGAAGTGCAAGGAGTTGAAGACTTGGTGAGTCCTCAAAGCATCGAGGATAAAGCCACCATTTCCTTGATGTATTTTATTTTCATGTCTTGAGACTATTGTATGGGCTTGGTCCCTAAGATGTTCATATTCTAGATGGTTTGAGACAAGTGTAATAAGACTTCCTCTTTGCTTTTATAAAGACTTTGATTGTATGAAAAATGTTTTAAAATTTCATACGTTTCTATTATCTTATGTTATGATATGCTAAGGTCTTGTATAAGACCCCTTCGGGATCAAGTACGCCATGTTACATCTAGGGTGCACCCTTGGGTCGTGACATTAAGCTAGGCCAAGGGTTTTTTTGGGGCCAACAATGGTTCTCGAGTGCCACTCGCATGTAGGGTGTAGGCTCGGGGAGTGACAAACTTAGTATCAAAGCACAGAGTTCAACAGTCCTAGGGTGTCTATGAAGTCGTGTTTGTAGAGTTCTAGTTCTCGGTGTGAAGCGCCCCACATCTATAATTACGAGGTTGCGACATTTAGGGACTATCTCCCTTCTTTCATACTCTTTTCGTGTGAAAGAGTTCATCTCTATAAAAGTTCCTTTCTAACTTGTGCTTGCGCATATCTTTCAGATCTTGCCTCCACAAAGAGCTGTCTGAGGTCGTCCTACTAGGAGGAATGTCGATCCACAGGATCAAGGGATACCTAATGCACCAGAAGTGCAGCCCCAATGAGAGGGTACTAATGTTGAGTTTCGGGATGCTATACGGATGTTGAGCCAAGTTGTGACTAACCAAGTTGGGCAACAATGAGGGAATCGACAGGATATGGCTTATACATCCTGGATCCGTGAGTTCTTAAGGATGAATCCTCTAGACTTCATCAGTTCAAGTGTTACTGAGGATCCGTAAAACTTTGTGGAAGAGTTGCAAAAAGTTTTTGAGGTTATGCATGTTGTTGATGCTAAGCGAGTGGAATTAGATGCATACCAACTGAAGGATGTTGCTAGAGTATGGTTCAACCAATGAAAGAAGAGTAGAGTTGAGGGTGCATTTCTTAGATTTGGTTTAGTTAGATTAATTATATTTGGGTTCATGATTTAGGTTGAACCCTTAGGTTGTGTTGAGCTTAATTTTTTGTTAGAGAGGCCTTAGTTTAGGTGTTGTGTAAGTAGTATCATTAGACCTAGCTTCTAGGTGGAATGACACTTAGGATTGTCTTGTGTTTGATTGGTTTGGTTGGTTTGATTGATGGTATGGATCCTTGAGTTGTGATTTTGGATGTTTATTAAACTGTTGGGTCTGAGGCCGTAAGCTTTGATTGTCAAGAGGTCTAGGTTAGTACTCTTGTGATATGACATGTGTTCTACCCAATTATGTGTGTATGGCATGAATTGGTTATGGTAATGCTTTTGAGGAGTTTCTACGTGATTGATTTTTGGGCAAAAATGACTTGGTTTTGTAAAAAGGGAAAATTAACCCTAATGAATGGAAGTCCTTGAGACCCGTTTAGATTTAAAAGTGGTAAAAGGCCCTTTTACTTGATTTGTCGCACCTTTCAACTACTTTTACTTTGATGAGCTCGATGTTGAAACGACCCCAAAAATGCCCGAAAATGTGCTTCGGAAACACCTATAATTGTAATTTCCATATATCTCAAAATCCGTGCATGATTTCGGAAATTCGACTTCATATTCTTATTCAGGGGGTCAAATTGAGTGGGAAATGGGTCTAACCCAAATTTTAGAGCAACCGTATCAAAATCCAAAATTTCCAAGTGAAGCCTTTTTCGAGGGTCTACTTTGGAGGGTCATATCTCCTAGCACACAAATTATTTGGGTGGCCAATAATATATCCAT